AGGGCTCAGCCAGCTCAGCCCTGCCGTCCCGGCGCCCACTCCCACCCATCTCCTCCGCCCGCTCCCACCCTTTGCCACCAGCATCACTAGAAGACGTGCCTGCTGGCAGCTATCTTGGGAGTTCTGAGAAATCACCTTGCTGCTTCCCAGAAATGCTAAACAACAAGACCAAAGACCAGGTCACAGCGACACCAACTTGTCTGGCCTCCCATGCAACCCAAGGGGGCCCTGCAGCCCCCAGGCCAGCTCCCTCCTCAGTCCCTTCAGCCGGGACTGAAAACGGGAGTGGAGAACCCTAGTGCTGGGGGTCCCCTCAGAGGAACCCTGCGCCCAGAATTCCCCTTTTCCGAGACCATGGGTGTCTCTCCTGTATCTTAACCTCTCGCTGTCAGGAAGTCCCTCCTGCTACCCAACCACCATCTTCCCTGTTGAATGTTCAACTCTGCCACCTGAAGTGTCTCCAACTCTATGTAATGACCCTATTTCGGGCTTGTTACCCATTATTCATCCTTCACAGCTTGTGTCCCCTCCCCCCACACACACAGACAGGGAGAGTTCCTTGGGCAAGGACATGTCCTGTGTTTTGTATCTCCAGAGCCTGGCATACAGCAGGTGCCAGACATGGTTGAAGGAGCAATGAATCACTCCACCAATCAATGGGTCCTAACATCTAACATATTTTCCTACCCCTTCCCAAACCTTCCTCTGGGGCCAGGGTGGGCCAGAAAGGGCGTTGAAAGGGCATTGGGCACACCTCGCCCGCACACCTCTGCAAATGCCTGTAATACCCACCTCTCTTCAGCCCCATCTCTTCCTGCCACTCCCTGGCCTCTGAGCTCTCTCAGGACGCAGACTCTCCAGAGGCTGAAGCGGTATCACCCATCCTGGGTCCCCATGCCTGGACCAGGGTCACAGACACCGGGTACCTGGCTCAGCAGCGGCCCCCCACCCTGAGCCACGCCACCCGCTGCCCTGACCATTTCTGCAGCAGCTGGCGTTTAACTCCACTCTCCCCTCTGCACGCAGAGCCTTCCTGCTCGCTGCCCACTGCCCTCCAGCCCCTGGCTCAGCAGTCAGTTGAAGAAACAGCCAGGACCGCAGGCTCTGGGGCTGGCGCTGGGCCCGGAGGTGGGCCGAGCTGAGGGACAAGTGAGTGAGGGCAGGAACGCAGCTAACAGGCCTCGTAAGCCTGAGCTTGGCACTCCCCTCTTTCAGCCTCAGTTTCCGCACCTGCGAAATGACCAAGCTGATGGTCTCGAAGGTCCCTTCCAGCTCCACCTCCTGTGAGGCCACAGATTTCCCAGGCCAAGGCCCCAGCTCCCTCCAATCCATTCTTCCTATCCTTCCACACTTGTCCATCACAAAGTTCTTCCTGCTGTCAGCCCATCTCCTAACATGGCATCAAGTCTTTCCTCTGTCACCACTGGTCACAGAATCTGAAGGTCACAGAACATCAGAGCTGGAAAGACCTGGAGCCTTTCCAGGGGTCACAGTCAGATCCTTCAGGGGCCTGACAGAAGTTAAATGAAGGTGGCGGGCAAGGAGTCTCTGGGGACCTGGAGAGGGCAGGCCCAGCTAAAGGGGATCCCACTCCTCGGGGACAGCTGCTGCGGTGTCAGCAACATAAGCCCACACTGTCAAATATTTTGACCTGTCAAGAGAAGCCCCAAATCTATATTATCTTATAAAATCTTTTATATAAAATATGAAAAATGCAAAATTTTAAACATTGGCTTTTTCTTTTTTTTAAATCATTCTGCCGGACTCAATTAAACAAGTCTGCCAGGAGGGTTGGGGCTTTGGGGCACCTCTCACCTAGTCAGCCCCCTCATCTAAGAGATGGCAACACTGCAGCGGAGGGACGGGGTGGGACCAGCCTGAGGTCACAGAGCTGTGGCTCCCGGGCCCCAGATCGTTCGCAAGCACCCAGCTGTCCAGTCACTGTAGGACCAGAGTCATGCTCTCACCTTTCTCCTGCCAACCTCGCAGCCCGCTGCCTTCACACGGGGGCTGCACACTCCACAGCCTTCATCGCAGCCAGCCGCAGGGGCCTCCTACCAAATAGGCAGGTGCAGAGCTGGTGCTGGGATTCCCCATCAACGTCCAAATGCAGATCCCAGCAGCACAGGATCTGACAACAAAGCCCTCGGCAACGGCATGGCTCCTTCGGGCTCTGTCCCTCTGTCCCCTGCCCGCGGAAAGATCAATACTAACTAACCAGACACTTAATTGTGGTATCGTACTTAAGCCTCCTACCAGCTCTCATTTTACAGATGTGGAAACTGAGGCGCAAAGAGGTTCGGCAACTTGCTCGGCATCACACAGGTAGTATGCGTGAGAACGGAATCTGGGGTGTCTGATTCCACATCCCGTGGGGATCGAACATTTTCCTGCTGCTCCTCTAGCAATACCATCACCCAGAGACTAGGGCTTATGGTCCTATGTTGAGGTGATGTGTTAGCTGTCCTCCCCACTCCTCATTCAAGGGCTGCAGCTCTGAGAAGAACGTCAACTGCTCAGGCCCAGGTCTGGCTTGGGGCAGGGGAGAGGGGGCAGGGGGAAGGGAGACACATAGAGGGAAGCCGAGGACAGCACTGCCACCTGGGTCAGGATGAGACCAACTGGCTCCCTAGTGGCTCTAGAAGAGCCAACCAGAAGAGAAAAACCACAGTCCTAGCAAGCCCTGGGGCCTGAGATCTGGGTGAGGACAGGGTCTGGCCACAGGGCTTCTGTTCAGATAAGCCATGCTGCCTCTCCCTGCTCCCACCCCCATACACACTCAGCCTTTGAGTTCTGGGGGGCTTGGAGCCCTAGCAGAGCCTCCATGTACCACTGGGCAGGATGGTCATTGAACAAGGGTGTAGCCAAGGGGTGAGTGGGGGCTGAAGACTCATCCATGCTCTACTCACCAAGCCTGGCCCAAGACACATTCATCCTAATGCCCACGAAGGTACCCTATGGGCCAGGGGAGGTCCAGACCCTTGCCCCTATGCCCACTACCCCTCCGGTATAAGATGGAGGTCTCCCCCTTGCACTTCAGAAATCGGAATGCTCCCTAAGATAGAAAGTGAGCTTCCAACCAGGCCCTGTATGGGCCTCAGTTTCCAGCTGACCCAGGAGGGAACATCACTCACACCCCCTTCTCCTACCTCCCCTCCATCAGCACCCTGGTTGGGGACAGTGCCTGGGCCCAATCGCAACAATGTTTAATAAAATCCTTCCCAGAGCTCGACTTGGTGATCTTGATACCTTCCCCAGCTCTAATTTCCTGCCTGACTCAGGCCCTCAAAGGCTGGAGGGAGGTAGCTGCAGCTGATCACCCAGCCCCTCAGCCCCAGCCCCCAGCTCAAATCCTAGCCCAGGAGGAGTTATGTCACCCTCAACCTCTGCAAATGAGGAGTGGGAATCGCCAAGTGGACTGGGGTCCGACTGACCTGGTCTTGGCTGGCCATTCCTGCTGCAGGCTGCCTTTTCCCAAATCTGAAAACCCGGACTCCGCAGCATCTGAACTCAGAGCCCACAAGAACGGCGATGGGGCTCTGGCCCTCTGGTCCACAGCCGCAGCACCTGCCTCTCAGCCAATCACTGGAGACAATGCATTTTGCTAGAAGATTTCAAAGCACACCTTGGGTGACTGCCACTGTGGAGTGGCAGTGAGGGAAACTGAGTCCCAGAGGCAGCACCTGGGAGGAGGCGCTGAACAGTCAAGCTTCTTACGGAGTGGAAAAATCCTTCCTATCCATGTGATGGAAGAATGGATACTGGGAGAAATCCCTCCATTCCCACGTACCCCATCTCTGGCCTGCCTGAAGGTCTACAAGGAGGGAGAGCCCCATGGAAAGTCACAAGAAGAATAAAGAAAAAGTTCCTAATTTTTATTGAGTACCTAATACAGAGAAAGCACTTGGTAACCACTTCAAATGTCCTACTGCATTTAATCCTCACAATAACCCAGTGATATAGGTATTTTTATAATCCCCATTCTACATGTTTGAAAACAGGTACCGGCAGAGTAAGCGACTTGCCCAAGGTCCACAGCTAGCATATGGTAGAGCCAGAATTCAAAGCCAGGCAAACAAGCTCTACAGCTGGCACTCAGCCTGGGTGCCACCGAGCCCCCTTCCCCCATGTGACAGGGGCCCTTCTGGCTTCCCTGCGGAATGGAGAATGGATCAGAAAGCCAGACCCCCCAGTCCCTTCCCCTCACTGGAGTCTTCTGGGGGTTCGAGGTCATGCTCTTGGAATTCTCTCTGTGCCTCCAGGGGAGGATTTAAGGTTACCTGCAGTTTTACCAGTTCCCTACTCTGCTGGCCAGCTATGACCCACCTCCTCTCTCTCCCTAACCTCCCCCCTCCACACATACAAGCACGCACACCCTGAAGGCACTGTCAAGGATCTTCTCTGGGAGAAAGATGCTCAACCATGACACGCCCATCCACAGCACTGGGCGTCCCACCAGACTCCTCCTCCCTCACTAACCCAACTACTACCCCAGCCCCCGTCCTTTCCATGTCCGGTTCCCTGGTCCCCCCATCCCCCTGAATAGATAGGAAATCCCTCCTGACGTCCACCAGCTTCATTTCCATCTCACTCTGTTACATCTCAGCCTTAACTCTGAATCCTCTGAACCCATCCGGGGGAAAAAGAGACATTTCCAGGAACTTGCCCTCCCTTCCCACAGAAACTTGAGAGGGACGCTTAAAGCCCCCAGAAACGTTCTTCTGTGCCCAGCTCTCCAGCGCCCTTGCACAGACTCCAGTGTTATCCTTCAGACTTCCAAGATGCTGTGCCCTGGCGGTGAGGCAGTCACTCCCCCTTGTGGATCCATGCATGAGTGGGGGCTCCCCCAGGAGTCCGTAAACTCTCATGAAAGCCACGCTGACAGCGGTCAAGATGGGTGTCCCTGAGGGCAGCGAGAGGGTGATAAACCTGACGCCTAGGTGACCGAGGGAGGAGAGTGCCTGTCGGGGAGGGGTGGGGCAGATGCCAGGTGAGTTTACCTGTCTGCGGAGGCAGAAGCGCAGGGGCAGGAAGCAGGAGAAGAGGTACTTGCTCCATCGAATCACGCAGGAGAAGCACCAGCTCATCTGAGTCATGTTTAACCCCGACGTGCGCGCCCCGGGCGCAAGGGTCGGAAGCAGGACCGGCTGCTCCGGGGAGGTGGGGAGGCGGAAGGCGAGAGACCCGCCCCGTGGTCTCCTGGATGCTCAGCCCCGCAGGAGCAGTCCGAGTGTCCCGGCCGCTCTAGCTGGAGGAGCTCGACGGGGCCCCCGAGGCGCGGCCCCGACGTGGCTCCATCTCCCCCCGGAAGCCCCGGCGGGAGACGCGGGCGCTACAGGGCGCTTCCACCCTCGGGGACTTCCTCCAGCTGCTGCCTCTCTCCTCCCCTCGTTGTGACACGGGCTGTGGGGGCGGGCGCAGGCACCCCGGCAACTTCGGAGGAGGCTCGGGGAGATGTTCGCAGGAGAGGCTGAGCGGCAGAGCAGAGGCGGTGCCAGGCGCCAGGCGACCACCTGCGGGGAAGGCGCAGCGGCGGTGGCGGCAGCATTGTGCTCCAAGCTGCAGTGAGTGTGTGAGTGTGCGTGTGTGTGCGTCTGTGTGTGCCGATTCCCTCCAGACCTCACTCTAATTTCCACATTGCTCCCCAGAGCATAATGTGATTAACTTAAACGGAGACCTCCGGCTTCCATGACTGAAGCAGAAACATCCGTGGGCCTGGCATGCACGTCAGGACACAGAACACAACCTGGACGGGCTGTCCCAACTCACCAACCTCTGACCCTGGCCACACCTCGACTCCTCTGCCTGGATCTCTCTCCAGCCAACTACCTGAGGGAGCTCTGAGCATCCAAACGCCCCCCATAAGCTGGAAGGGCCCCTGCCTAAGAGGCTGAACCAACTCAGATTGATGAGAGCTGGCTGCGCCCCCCACAGCTATGGCTGAACCTCCCGCTCGGAGTTCAGGGTGTGCCACATCCCATCACGTCCTGCCCCATGGCCGCCACTGGAGAACAGGGACCCTTCTCTGCCTCTGCTGTGCTCAGAGGATGTGAACAGGGGTTGGGGGCCTCTCAGGAAAATTGTTTGAGGGTCACCATACTGTGAGCCTGGAACCAGGGAGGGGGAGGAAGAGACAGGTGAGAGGAGGCGCTGGACTCTGGAGAGAGGGAGAGAAGACGCAGAGAGACAAAGGCAGAGGGAGACCCACAGACAGACTTCGGGGAGGTGGAAAGAGGCGGCTGTGAGCTCTGGCCCTGGTTCTGTCCCTGCAGAGAACCTGGGAGGGGAGCCAGCCAGCCAAGCCCAGAAAGAAAAAGGGCGGGAGAGCCGCGGCTGCTGCGAGCAGGACCCTGCCAGGGCCTCCTCCACAGCAACAGACCACTGGAGCCCAGCCAGGGCGCTCCCAACCCCGCGCGCCGCCTCCCACCGCTGCCTGCACTCCCGGGCCTGGGCTTCCCTGGGCACTGTACCGGGGCTGTTTTTCCTGGCAGTGCTGTCTCTCTGTCCTCAGGGAGACAATGCTGTCCTTCTTCCTCAGGGAAGGTTGGGGACACAGAGCCAGCATTGCAGGGGCTCCAGGCAAGGTCTCCTTCCCGACATGCAGAGTTTCTCAGCAAGCTTACTCCTGCCTCCAAGCTCCCCCCACCCGATGGGACTTCTCAGGCCCTCCCCCCTCCCCAGTTCATCTCCCCACCATGAGACAAGGCAGTGAGGTGCAGCGCTTTGGGGGAGGTTGGCAGGAACACAGTGAGGGAGCGGGGAAGGGGGCCCTGCTGGTACGTGGCTAGAGAGACGAGGAAAGACAGACACTGGGGCCCTCAGCCCTCAACAGCGCCCAAAAAAAGGGTCCCTCGCTGTCTTCCGGTACACACCACCACTTAGGCCCCGGATGAAAGCGGGAGGGGGCGTCACGGAAGTAGGCAGAGAGGTAATACACGAGCCCCTCCCTAGCAGGCCCTGCCTTTGCTCTTGCCCATGACCTCCAGTGAAGTGCCTGGCACTGCTGAAGTCCATGCCAGGCCTGCAGAGGGGCCCTTCCTCCTCTTTGGGGGGGCCTGCAATCTTCACAGCCTCCCCACCCTGGCGCCAGAGGAAATGGCTGCGTTGTGAGATGTGAGGAAACTGGGCTTAATCCACAGCACGTGGAACAAAGTTTACTCAAAAGGAATCACTGGTTGAATTTTTCAAACAGAAGGAAGTTCCTCCGGTGGGCTGAAGTGTGGACCTGCCTAGAGTAAGAGAGAAGGACAAGGTGATTTTCTCTAAGAGGATTCTTAAGACTTCTCAGCACCAAGAACATGAAAGGCACTCATCCAACAGAAGGAAGGAAGAGCAGATGGGAAGAAAGAGAAGGAAGTGATTTCTAGGTTCAGCCCTTCCCTACAAGGAGATCCTGATAAAAGGGCTCAGAAGGGCCGAGGGGCCTTCATTTCATCTACCGGCCAGCAGGAGGTGTCCTTAAGCCAGTGACCCTCCAGAGAGGAAGGGAAGAGCCCTTAGCTGACAGAGACAGGAAGCCAGGCCCAGCACTGCCTGGGCTTCTCCCCAGCTCCCTCCTCCCAGCCCTTGGTCCCACCACACCTCCACAGAGCTTCGCACCCAGCATTGCGGCTCCTGAATGAAATCCTGCCCCCAAGGCAGGACGTGGAAATGTGTCCTCGGGAGTTTGGTGCCTCATGGGAAGTCACACGTCCTCTGTTCTGTTTTCATCACCAGAGGAGATCAGAACCCTGAAGAGAGCAGCTGCAGGATCCCCAGAACCTCCTGGAAGGCTTTGGCAAGGATCCCCATGCTTCCTCTTTCAACTTTTGTGAAGGTGGGGAGGGGGTCCAATCCAAGAAGTTCGTCTTTCAATTTCAGTTTCTTTCTCCTCAAAGCACTCAAAGCACCAGAAACTGCATCTGGTAGGTTCTTGCATGCATCCCATCCCCCATCTCTCCTTCCAGGCCCCCAGGCGTCAGGGTCAGAGATGCAGGATTTCACAGAGTGGATCAGACGCAGATGTTCACACATAGGGGACCACGGATAGGGATGAGTCTGGGCAGGGTCTGCTCTGTCACAGGAGCCTCACGTCAGACCCCAACCTCTCTGCAGCCCCCATGTGGGTACCTCACAACAGACCCCCAGCTCCTCACCTCGGCCTCCCCAGTGGAGCTTGTGAAAAGCTGGCCGCCGTCCTCGGAGGGTTAACCAATCCTCTGGGGACGCTTTGTCTCCCCTGCCCGGTCCAGGCTCCCACAGACCCCCAGGCCTGTCTCCCTGTCACCCCTGGGACCCCGGCCCTTCCTCCCTCTGCCTCCTCAGCTAGAGTCCAGACTGCTAAGCAGGGCTGGATGTGGGCCTGGCCACGGCTGGAAGGAGAAGGAATTTCTTCTCCAAACCCCACTCTTGTTCACACAGCCCAGAGACCCGGATTCTGAGTCCAGGCCAGGGAGGAGATTCCAGAGTCTAGAGCCAGGTAGGATGGAGGCCACATTCACAGAAAGGGGGCTGCTCCGCCCCCCCCGTCCCCCCTGCTCCCCACCACCCCTGAGAAGTGGGGGAAGAAAGGGAAACTTCCCAGAGGCATCCAGAGAAGGTGTCAGGGAAACAAGAGAGCAGGTCACAGCCACCAGCTCCCTGGGGACAGGGTAAGCACAGATTCTCCTCTGTCCCATGTCCCCAGGGCCACAGTGCCCCCGGCTGGTTTTGTCTGTGGCGAGACAAAGGCGGCTCCTGTGAAGGAAGAATGGCTTGGGCATCTGATCCGAGGCTCTGGGTCTTGCTTTCACACCAAGAGAGATGCACAAGCCCCCTCCCTGGAGGCCCCCAGCCTTCCTCCTCCATCAGATGGGGACAGCTCCGGCAGGCCCAGCCCCCCACGTGCTTGCTCACAGCTAGAGTTGATTTCACCACCCTCCCAGCCACAGCAATTCCTCCGGCGGCCCCCAGGGGGCTCCGACTTGGGTCTCACCTCAAAGACTGGCGTCCCCAGAGCCTCAACACTGCCACCAGGGACGGATTTCACCAGCCCCACTCATGGTTAAACTACCCAACCACATTCAAGGTCGAGGACTCGCACACAGCAACAGAACTGGGGTCCCTCCAGAGCTGGGGGTCCCATCTCATATGGGCTCCAATGTCACCTTCTCGGATCACCCCACTAAAGTCCTTCCATCGCGCCAGCTCCCAGTCTGTGTGACACCAGTAAGTTCATGTCTTCAGAGCACATAGCACTTATTGATAGATTTGCTCACTTCCTCACTGTTTCACCCCCTCCCCCCCAGACTGTCGGCTCCCAGAGGATCTTGGTAGTCATTCATGGTTGCAGTCCCAGCACCCAGCTCCCAGCACCCAGCACTCAGCACTCAGCACTCAGCATGGTGCTGGGTGCAGAGTCGATAAACGTGAGTTACTTGGTGGATTGGTAGGTTGACTGCATGAATACAAGAAAGAAGAAAGGCAGGCCATTCCTGCTTCTAAATCCAGAGTCCCTGCCGCAGCCCTGGACTTCGGCCACTGGGCAGTGTCATCTTCCAGATTCTTACAGCTACTGCACCAGGACAGTGGGATCTCTACGCATCCCTACTCCACCCACCCCTGATGAGAGGCCACCTCCTTATTCTGCTCCCAAACATCCAGTACCGGTTCCAGTTAAACTTGAAAGAGACCCCGTGCCTCCCCCTGCCCCCCACCCTGACAGCACATGATTGACACACGAGGACACTGAGGCCCAGAGAGGCGTCACACAACCAAAAAGTGGCAGAACCAGAATGGATCAAAGCCCTCCATTCCTGGCTCTTTGCTCTTCCACAGCACAACGCTGCAGAGGCAGGAGAGGAGGGAGAGGAGAGGAAATGTTTCCCCTCTTATAGATATTCCGAGGAGGTGAGCCCGTAAGTTCTCTTTCTCCCCTTTACCACTACTAACCCAGGTCTCTGACCCGTCACAGGCAGGAAGTTCCTCTTGATATCTAACCTCCATCCCTGCTCTCAAATTCCAGACCATTTCCTCTTAGACTGCCTTGCCTGGGGAAGAACGACTTGGTCACTCTCTCTGCACAATAAATGCCTTCAGACACTGGCAGCTCACTATTCAAGCCCCCATCCCCACCCCACCTCCACCCCTCTCTATTCTGCAGACTGAAAATCCTGGGTCCTCTGGGCCCCTTTCCAAATGACTTCCATCACCACCCAGCAGCTGACATGATAAATGGGTGGGGGAAGGGTGGGGACAGACCTGGAGTGATGGTGGGTATTGACCCACTGGGGAGCCCGAGGCCTGGGCTGCCTTTCCGGGCAAGCCACAGTATCTAGGGGTGGAGAAGTGAG